GAGGGTGGTTCCGCGACATCGTTTCCACGGAATTCGAGAGAACCACAGCTTGAGAGAAGCCTCCGACCTTCGTCCGCGTTCCTCTCGCGGAGTTTCGCCGCGATCGGAAGAACACGGAGGCGTTTCGCCGGTCGACCGCGCGGACATTCGCGTCTCAGGTCCAGAATGCGTTTAACGATCGGTGATCGAGATCGGTGATCGATCGGGATCGCCTTTACTACTGCCATTTATAACGTATGTAAGTAAGAAATAAGAAGTAACAAGTAAGAAGTTAACAAGTAAACAAGTAAGAAGTACGAAGTAAGAAGCGATCGCGCGAGATCGGGCTGCGTCCTCTCGATCTTCCGTCTTCGCGGTGGTCCGATTCCCCCGGAGTCGCGTCGGGGAATCGGTCGCGTTTGCCTTGCCTTCGAGCTCGTCGAGCCACGAATCACCGGCAGCTGATCGGCAACGACTCCCCTGGCGGGTCGTCCGGTCGCACAGCCGCGGACGCGCGCGTTTTCGGGATTCCTTTCGAGCGGGCCTGCCGCGACGCTTTTCCATTCCTGCCCACGGTGCCCGTATTCTCTCCGACCTTGTATAGAGCGTTTCACCGACCGTCAGAGAACCGTTTCATTTCTCCTCGATAGTAACCTATAATTCTTGGATTAATTGTAAAGTAACGTCATGTCATTACCAAGTACGAGGTTAAATAAATTATTTGAAAACGTTACAACGGCCTGTGCCTGTGTGCTGCTGTTCTGCCTCCACCGCGTCTCGGCGCATCTGGACGCGTCCGGCCACAGCTCGTCACGGGAACCGGAAACAAACCTGGACGTTTTCCGATTTTGCTCGGCCCGGCCCGTTTCCGTGAAGGCGACGAGCGATTACTCGAGACGAGACGACGCGTATTCGCCTTCCAGCGACCAAAGTACGCCGAAGGAGCGTCGCGTAGCGTCGCGTGGACGCCGCCGCCGATCGATCCCCCTTTCGCGTCGGGCTTTTGTTCATTTTTAACGCGCGTGAACGTTCACTGAGCCGATTAATCGCTCCTCCGCCGAACGTTTCGCGTTCGCGCGAACCGTTAACGTCACGGATCCGTTGCGCCGACGCGCACCGCGACGAAATCGAAAGCGTCGAACGCGCTAGGCATACTCGATAGAAAAATCGTTTGCTCTTTCGTCGAAGGGGGCCGAGTTTTCGGAGTGTCGGGACCGCGGTGAACGAATCGCGGAGGAAAAGAGGCTCAGCTGGACGTACGAGCGTCGACGGTTTCAGGGTGAATGGTACCGCGCTGCGCGCCGAGCAGCCCGTGTTAGCCCGAAACGGGCCAACGAGTTTCGCGTCTTCGCGAGAACGCTCGTCCACGCGTCCGAGCAAGATCGAGACCGTTCGACGACCTCGACGAAGATCCGCCACGACGACGCTCGCTCGGCGAAGTGAAAGCGAAACGTTTCCCGATCTCCTGGACTTTCTCCGAGCAGCGGCTGCCGAAGCCTCGCCTTCCGGAGAGAAGGATCTGGGAACGGATCGCGACGAGGAGCAACGTCGGTGCCTCGGATCGGTTCTCGGAGTCCATCCAAGGCCGCGGAGGCGCCCGGCCTCGGTCGAGCGATCGTCTCTCGGAACGAGCGTGCTCCTCGGAGAGAAAGCGCTCTCTCCCGCGAGGAGAACCCAGGAAAATCGGCGCACGCCGAGCGGAACGGCGACGCGCCGGCGAAACTATCGATCCGAAATCTATTAGACTCGGAGAAACTGGGTGCGAAGGGACGCGGCGGGTCACCACGGCGTTCCAGTGACCCAGTCAGCTCTGGCTCGACCTTCGAGGCGATACGCGTTCATCCATTTAAACCATCCTCTCCCACCCCCTCCCGAGGCTGGCATTCTCTCTCACTTTCACTCTCTTGCATCACGAGGAGAGTACACGAGTGTGTACGTATGGACGAGCTCGCCGAGCGCCGCGGCGAGGAGAGGCGGACGCGGGCCGGAGGACGGGACCGAGCACGAGGTGGATGGTGCAGCAGCGGGTTACCGGAGGGTTACCGGAGGGTTACCAGCGGGGAACGGGAAAGGGAATTCCGAACGCGGTGCTCGCGAGACGAAGGCTCGAACGCGGACAGAGGCGGTCGGAGAGAGTCTCGGAGAGAGTCGCTGAGAGTCGGAGAGTCGGAGAGGGGAGTGCGAGGCAGACGGTGACGAGCGTACGCGCATCGATGGACGGAGGAGCGAAAAGAGCCGGAGAAACGCGGTTGGATAGAGAGGTCAGCGAATACCGCGAACCCCGTGCGGGGCAGAAGAGCGAGAGAGAGGAGTAGACACGGCCGAGAGGAAAGAAGCTAGTCCGCCGACGACGGGGTGCGAGACCGAGCGCGCTGGCCCGAGAGGGACGGATGCAACAAAGCACCGACAGGTCGTGTGATACCCCGTTACGTCACAGTCGGAACAACTGGTTGCCTCATGGGGAGTTTGAGGAGCTCCCTCGTGCATGTCGCCTCCTCCTCGCCTCCTCGTCGCCTCCTCCGTCGCCTCCTCGTCGCCTCCTCCTCGCCGCGGACGCCGAAAGGGAGAGGAGAGACGATAGACACCGGATGGGGGTATTCCAGAGTCGGCGGGACAGCGGGGGATCCCGCGGGCGTCAGGAGGGAGGATGATATATACAAAACACAAGGTCACGAGTACGGCTATAGGTATCTCTCTGTAAACACGCGGTGACGTAGCGAGCACGTGCTACGACGTTACCATGGCGGGGCGATTCGAGGGACACCCTCCACCCTCTGCGCTCGCACTGGCACTCGCACCCGCTTTTAAACCGTTCCCCGCTCGCGTTCCCTTTCTTCGTTCTTCCGCCGATTCCCACGTCGACTCGCAACCTCTTCCCTTCCCTCGACTCGTCGGCGATCGTTCGCTCGAGCGGATACGCGCGAATCGTTCTCGAGTCGTCGACCAACGAGAATAATCGGTCTCGCGATCCCGCGTAACTTTGGAAAGGTCGTCTGCCCGATGCGGGTAAGTTTCCCGAAAGCACGAGGAAAAGAGGGATTCGTCTTTCTGAATATTTGAAATCGCGTCGTAACGTATTCCATTGAGCCGGAGGAAAGCGCCCGAAAGCAGGTTTCCCGCTGCGATCCCCGAGGGTCAGGGCTGTCCCTTTGTCGTCCCTTTTCAATGCCGCGTGCACAAGGCGTCTGCCTGCCTGCTCGCCTGCCTGCCGGGTCGTTTGCCTGGTTCGCTGCTCGCCAGCTGCTTCTCTCTCTGGAAGAGAGGTTTTTCACAGTCCCCTTTGCGCTAACGATCACCCGGCCTCTTCCTATCCCCGATGCGAAACGCTCCAAGGGTCGAAAATCCCACTGGGAGATTATTTTCCCCCGCCACGGTTCGCCTCGCTCCGCCTCGCTCCGCCTCGCCCCGTTTCGTTCCGCCACCTACCTTCCATCCCTGTTCCTTCTCACCGACCTGACCTCTCCATCGGCTAGAGGACGCGCTGGAATATTACGAGCGAACCGCCTTACCTCGACGGCAACGAGACAGGAGAGGAAAGTTTTCTCGGGATTTCGTAAAGTTCTCTCGGCCGATTAATCGTCGATCGGAACGTCGAACGATTCCGTGGACGATTCGCTGGGATCCGAGACGGAGCGAAGCTTCGACCCTGCCTGGAAGGCACAAAGACCAGGAAGCGAAGCGGCGATGAATTATATAGCATCCCGGTTCTCGGGCGCGGATCGATATCCGCGTCGCGGGGCTAGGCGATGCCTACCGAGAATCGATAACGCCATGCATTATCGATGCGTTTTCCGGTAGGATGTCCGTTAGGACGCGCGCCCCGCGGCTCGTATCCCGTTTGTCGGAACCTACCCGACACCTAACCGGCCGTTCCGCGGGAAAAACGCGAACGCGGAAATGAGACGCGAACGTCGTCGGAATTCTTCCGTCGACCATCCACCCCCGTGGCAGCTCTTTCGTGAGGGCGCAACGAGCAACGAGCAGCGACGCGATTACCCGCGTTCGTCGAGGATTATCCCGCGAACCGGCCCGGGGATGTTTCTCTTTTCGCTGGTTCGTTCAGTGACCCTCCGCCGGGATCGATATTTCGGGCAGATAGTCGAGCTAAATTATAAACGGCGGACTCTTCATCGCGGTACCGCCTGCACGTACCGGCGCGCGTATCCACCGATCAATATTTCTAATTTACTTTTCCAGCCGCGATGCGCCGCGAAACGTTGCGAAGCGTCGCGAAGCGTCGCGAAGCGTCGCGCGGACATTCCCGACTAGAATCCGCGAAACGCGTTATCACCGTCGCGAGAATCGCCCGCGAATTCCCCTCCGACTTCCGCCGGTTAACGAAGAAACGCGCCAGCATGTCACCGCGAACGGGTACTCGGATCGTCTCGCGAGAATTTCGATTGGCCGGAAGGGAAAAATACGATAGCGACACCGATTCGATCGGTGACCCGAGTCAACGGAGCGTGGACCGAAGGAACCTCGAAGCCACGGTCCGACTGACCGAGGCGAGGAATGAGCAAACCAAACGGAGCAGCCGTGCGCACGTGTACACGGGTACACGTGCATACGTGTCCACGTGTGCATCTCACGTGACACACGATCGCACGGATACGCCGATACACGGCTGCGGAGTTGCACATCTACGCGAGAACACGCAAACGGATACACCGATTCGCACCGGCTCGCGCCGTGGGTGCACACAGTCGCACACAGTCGCACACAGGCGCGCACACGCGTGCACACGGACGAGCGCGCCTATGCATCGAGTCGTGTACATAGCGGTGCGTGTGTCGGTGTATATGTACACCATTGACCGGGATATCGTCTGTCTCGGGATGAATGAACCATTACGTCACGCACTTGTACTCTCTGATCCCCTTCCGCCTCTCCTCCCTCTGTGCTTCTCCTCGTCCGTCGAATCCGTCTTCGTCTCTCTCCTGCACGGGCTCTCGTGCTCGCGTTCTATTATGTCCTTTCTTCCTTCCCTCTTTCGTTGCTTCTTTCCTTCCTTCCTTCCTTCCTTCCTTCCTTCCTTCCTTCCTTCCTTCCTTCCTTTCTTCCTTCGATCGATTAGCAGCGGAATCCCCGGCCGGGTAGGGAGACGATAGAACTGTAGTTTCGATTGGAGGTCAACGTATCGCGATGGCTCAGACACCCGGCAGACGTGTCTGCTCTGTAAAACCTAGTGGGACGAGGAGAGGACGTCGAGAGAAAGAGAGTAGGACGAGAAGAGCACGCGGGGAACGGGGTCGACGAATCGCTTTCGTTGCACCACTGATACACTTCCCTGTCCGATAGAATCCTATCTTCGCCGGTGGCCGACCTTCCTCCCGTACCAACTTCCGATCCTTCGATGCTTCTCGTCCGTTTCCTTGCTATTGTTACTCGTTCGAATTTACTGGTGATCGAACGCGAATGCGACTCGAATACGTCGGAGCGCGAACGCTTCTTCGCTTCCGGATAGAATCGTGTCCGGCGCGAGCTAAAAAACGAAAGTACGACTGGTACATCTGGTAAAAAAGATGCAGAATCTTTTATTATTCTCATCGAGGCGACTCGGAAGTCGAACATCGTTTAAATGTGCTTGTTCTCGTCTATCTAAAAGAGCGATTCGCAGAGTTCGAGTTTCCGTTTCGATTGGTCTCGGCATCGGTTGTCGCGACGGATACACCGCTCAGCCGTCTATAATAGGCTCCCGAGGTTCTCGACCGGGTTCCTTCAGGTTGGGATATAATTTCGCTTTTGGACCGTCGCTGTTCACTCTTCCGTGGAAATCGGGTTTCTTCTCTTTGGGCGCGCTACGCTGCAACCAAATGTCCAATAAACTTTTTGGGGCGTAGAAAGCACCCTTGTGCAGTTGCTTTCCCAGAGCCATCGAAGTGCTGGGCGGTGGCGACATGGGCGAATCGGTTGTAGCTCTTATCACGCTGGCCCTGGCGGTTCCGTCTTCTTTCCCGAACCTGTAAAACGCCCGACGGAAACGTAAACAACGCGTTTCCCAAAAGAAACTTCGAGACCAGTTATCAATCGTCGGATACTTGCCCATCCAATTCGCGCAACGCCTGGTCCAATTCGACCTTGTCCTTGTCGTCTTTGCTTCGCACTTCGAGGAGACAAGTCAAAACTTCGGAATGAGCGGCGGAATTGTTGGCGTGATGTTTCAAAAATGTTTCCAGTTCACCCCATAGAAGTCGGTAATGCTCTTCTCTGCGTACACCGCCTTTCCCGCCGCGACCACCGCCTATACTCGGCAAAGGTAGCGCTTCGTGCTTCGCCTCCAATTGTAACAAACTGAAAATCACTTGTTTGCATTGCAGCACTTCCTCGGCGCTAAGTTCCTCCTTCACCATCAGGTCTGGTAACGGGTCTATTAACTGCGAACGAAATGCTATATACTCCTGGATTCCGATAATCGCGGAACGGTGAATTTGATTTAGCTGAAAGGACGCGTACCTGTTTCAAGTTACACATAAGGGTACTAGAAATCGTGATTGGCCAATACTTGGTATGCCTCTCCAATCTGGACCTCATCTTCTCCGCCGGTCCTTCGCCGTTACTGTTCGCGTTTCGTTTCAAAGGCACCAACACGTTATTCCTCATGAGCCGACCAAAATCCTGCAACAAATCGAGCACGATTCTATCCTATTCTCTTGTTTACGATTCAAAGGACGATTATGCGAGTAACCTACGGTTATTCTGTAATCGGTGACACGTCCGCCGCAACCTTCGCTGATAGACGGCGGATCCTCCAACACGCTTCTGGCGGTAGACAGCGTGTGTATAAAGATTTCGCCGCCGTGTGCAGCGAGCAAATGAGAAATGGTTTTCCCTCCGCTTTTTCTAGCCATTTCGAGCATTACCGATCTACCGTTCAACAGAAAGTTGATCAAGCAAGACGACGGTCTACTGTTCACGTCCACTGGTGTGATTCTGTGCATAGCGGTGCAATTCTGCATTTCCGCTGCACTACAACCTCGCGGTGTACACCATTTTAAAGTCACCGTTTCGTACTCCGAACCCTCTTCGAATCTCCTGAATGTTTTGATTAAGGCAGAGTCCTGTGGATTTCCTGTAGGACCCATCGACGTATGCGCATTTACATTTCGTTCAGATTATTTCCATGCCTTTCGAAAACAAAATACCTTTCAAGATCGCAGAATGTGCGGCTGACGAATGAAATATTTCGACATCGTAATTGGCAGACGAACTGGCGTTTTGTTCCTCCTTCATAGGAATACCGGTTACGGTTGTACTCGCCAAATCATAGTGTGATAAGATTAAATGAGAAAGTTTCGAATGCAGAGCAGGCGCCTTGATGGAATGTACTTCCACTGTTAACAATGGTGAAACCTATGAAAAAAAAACAACTCTGACTAATATCGTATCGGATATTCTTTATACACAATTTCCGGAACTTATGCGCAATACCTCTCTAGGTCCTTGACTAGTAACTTGTGATTCTATGTTGTTAGGGAAGATGTTCAATATAACTAGATGACAATAATCCACAGGTATTAAACTGCAAAATCAAAATGATAATTATTTTATAATGTCAATCCGCATTACCTGCCAAACAGTTTTCCAAAGAATACTAACTGGTCCGAGGCTAAAGCAGTTTTATTTTCTTGAGCCAATTCGTTCAAAAATATATTTTCTAAACTTTTCATATTGCTATTATCTCTTGCACTGGTAATGCATATTACTCTACCCCTGTTGACAAGCTTACTAGCATTCTCATTTAAAGATGTCCTCTTTTCGTGCTGAATTTCTGAACATTCGTTCAATGTCTCGATGGCTACCCTTAATCCATGTATCACGGAATAATCCTCTCCAGGTTCTGGAGTTTTCGTTGGTACTCCCAAAATGGCAGTCCCATTCATGATCTATAATTTCAATAGATTTTTTACAATGTTATTTCAATCAAGAAAACAAAGAATACGTGAAAAAGGTGTATTAAAATTTACGTGATTTAAATTCTGCTGCGATGGACTCCATGAATTTAATACATAGGCTGCACGATCGGTCACAACGAATCTAATCTGAAATTAAAATACAACATAGAATTATAGTTACAATAAACTAATAAATACATTTTTATGATAAAGAAACACTGTACCAGTTTTCCAGTTGGGAAAAGGTCCCACACTATGCGACAATATTCTAACGAAGCCTCTACGCTAGTAGTCCACAGAGATTTACAAACAGGTGCTAAAGGAATTAAATTTTGTCCGCGACTTTTTAGAAAATCAAATTCCAATGGACATTCAGTGGATATACCAAAATATGGTGTGTGGTCCAAAACAAAAATGGTCTTATGGTTTGCTGGATACATTCTTCTACACCATTTTTAAAAATAGTCTATTCTTCAATTCTAATACAGTACAATCTGTTATTTACACCTTTATTTTCAGCAGAATCAAGCTTTGCGAAGCTTACATATCATAGGTTATGATATACGTCGCATCGTGATAGTTAATATTATGTTTCTATAATGGCAAGGTTCCTGTGAATATGTAAACTTTATATGTAGAAATATTATCGTGTATTTACATTCTTCTCTAATTATTTGTCATTTCATTAAATATTAATTATATGACATATTAAAATCGTTATTGTGTGTTTCGCAACATGCTAATCAATAGTTTTAACTTAGAATGGTATATGAATTTAAAACGAGTAATTTTTCGTTATCAGCGAATTTAAATAATTTTATATTCATAATCTTAAATGATAAACTCGTTCATTCTACGCTTATCCATTAACATTTAAACTTCCCTGGCAATATTACGTACTCACTTCCGGTAGTTCACTGACTTTCAATTCAAGTATGTATTTCACATTATACGATTAATTATTATCTATTATCTTCGATTCACTAATTTAAAATTTATTATAATTTTTCAAGTTCAATCAATAATCCGATTTTCGATTGTAGAATAAAAGTACTTTGTCGTTTACTGTTTATCAAGTGTGTATATTCCAAGTACCAACGGACACAACTTCCTTTCCGATTGGAAGTCTCCTAGTGGCATTCACAACGTGAGTTCTCTGAAACATTTTCCTTTATTTATAACATTCATTTGTTAAGATAATGTAAAAACTTCACAACAAAAGTATTCCGCACTTGTGAAGATTAATATTTATATAAAAATGAACAAAAATAAGAAGTAATTACAGTAAATTCGCACAATTTTCAAATCGACTAATGCACGTGGCATTCTTATTACGAAGTTGAATGGTAAAGATATTAATTTTATAGTACGCGGCTACGATCTTCTAAATTACACGTGTTTAAATGATTAAACTTTGTTATTCATTTATTAAATACTCGTTACGTTACAAGTGCAGCAAGCTATTTGGTTTAGGTTAGGAAGTGAGGTTAACTATCCAGTTTTCCCTTTATGTAAAAGATATTGCGGAAGCTGTGTACAATGCATATCATTGATCCTTGTATTCATATTTTGTGTAGGTTACTCGTAAGTCAACCATAACGTTAAGATGTCAGGAGGTTTAGACGTATTGTCTCTCAAAGAGGACGATGTTACCAAAATGTTAGCTGCATTTACCCATTTGGGTGCAGAGAATGTCAACTTTCAGATGGAACAATATGTTTATAAGAAAAAAAATGACGGTAAGTCTCAATATGAATGAAAATAATGAATTTTTGATTGAGAGTAACTAATATTTAATTATACAGAATTTTGTACCCAATTTAGGAGTTAGCATCATCAATCTTTGTCACACTTGGGAGAAATTGTTATTGGCAGCACGTGCCATTGTTGCCATAGAACATCCCAGTGATGTATTCGTCATCAGTTGCCGTCAGACGGGTCAAAGGGCAGTTTTAAAGTTTGCTCAACACACTGGAGCTACACCTATCGCTGGTCGTTTTACTCCCGGTGCTTTTACCAATCAGATTCAGGTTATTTCTTATTCTATTTCTATTCATTTTTACAAACATAAATATGCAAATGATGAACAACATTATTTCCATAATTTATACTTGTTGGTTTACTTTGGCTTAATCTTTTCTGATTTCATTCGATAATAAAATACGTGTAATTTCGTTCTTTGTAAGATTCAATATATAATAACAACAAATATTATTTTCAGTCTGCTTTCCGTGAGCCACGTTTGCTGATCGTTACCGATCCATCCAGCGATCACCAACCCATCACAGAAGCCAGCTATGTAAACATTCCAGTGATTGCTTTCTGTAACACTGACTCTCCTCTCCGTTTCGTCGACATTGCTATTCCCTGTAATACAAAAAGTCTTCACTGCGTCGGTCTTATGTGGTGGTTGTTGGCTAGAGAAGTCCTCAGATTGAGGGGTTCTATCGCTCGTGAAAGTAAATGGGATGTCGTCGTTGATTTGTTCTTCTACAGAGACCCAGAAGAGGTTCGTTTTTCGTAGCATTTTAATCATTATTTTATATTCTCCTTTCGTTCTCCACTTTGGTATGATGAAAAACAGTAACCAGAACAGTATTTGTTGACTTTATTTAAATATGGCTTAATCTTTTCTGAACGTATCTCGCACATTTATCTTACCCCTCAGTTATATAAAGTTTGATCAATATAACAACTTGATTATATTATTGTAGGCTGAGAAGGAAGAACAAGCAGCGAAGGAAATTGCTCCTGCTAAAGAATTTACAGGACCCGTCGAAGTTCCACCCAGTACAGAACCTGGATGGGTTAATGACGTTGAAACTGCAGGTGCAGTGCCAACAGAAAATTGGGCTGACGATGTTGCACCACCAACGGCAGCAGCTCTTCCAACTCCGGGTGCTGCTCCAGCATTCCCTGCAAGCGGAGACTGGGCTGCTCAGGTGAGAGGAAGCTCGTATATTCTCTATAAAAATATTCTCGGTATATCAGATTATTTACATACTTGTTCTGTTTCGAATCCTATAGACTTCCGAAGAATGGACAACCGCACCAACTGCTACCACCCAGAGCTGGGGAGGTGCTACACCTGAAAAGTGGTAATCTCACTCTCTTTGAGAATTTCATACAATGACACACTTTGTACAATCAGTGTAATAAAATGATTTAAAATTTATATGATGCATTCTTTATTTCTACCTACAAACATTAAAATTACGTGATAAAGAAAATTGTACCTGTGAAGATTATGAAAGATGCACTCTACAACCACAAATAATTACTCATAATTTATTAAAACAACTGGTAATGTACTGTGTAATGTAAAATTCTTAGATAAAGTACTTACATGCTTGTACCAATCAACTACTTACGCGTATAAGCGGTGGCACATATTATACAACGTTAATTTGCCATATAACGAATATAAGATGTCAAAATCCAGCATTTTCCCTATCCTCGCAACGAGTAGGACAAGGACAGTCCGAGTGTGCGACAAGGATGGAAGATTTTGGTCGTGGGCGATAGTAGCGCCATCTAGCGGACGGGCGTTTTCGAAGCTTTTCCCTATACCCGCAATGTGTAAGACAAGGACAGAGCTAGCGTGCGACAAGGACAGAGACAGTCTCTCTCGCGCCACCTGCTTGGAAAAAG